GATAAAAATTTAAATTTATTAAAAATAAAACAATTTATTTATGTTTAAATTAAAATTAAGAAAAATAAAACCGTTTAAATGCATTAATAAATTAAGAAAAAAAATATAATAACCAAATAAAGGTTGACGTCATTAAACACAATTTAAAGTAATTAATACTTTATGTCATCTCAAAGGACTTTTCGGGCGAAAATCATTATGAAAGATATGTGCTAATTATAAAAGGTTGAAGATAAACTTGCGATGACGAGAAAAGTTGGAAAGTAAAAAAATTGAAGATCTTAAGAACGTGTTTGGGAGCAATTTTAATCAAAATTATAGTCGTTATAGTCAACTTGTGGGCCCCACCTGTGAGAGGGAAAGTCAAAAATGGTGATTGATTTGATAGTTAACGGCTAGAATTTTGATTAAAATCTTAATTAAAATTTCTCCCAAACAGGGCCTAAGTATATTAGAATGTGGTTTGAATATGATTATCTTTAAAAAGAAAGGGACGACTGTTTATGAAAGATCTTTTTGATGAAGATTTATTGAGAATAAATTTTGGGAAAAATAATTTTTAAATAATATGTGATTAAAAAAGAAAAAATATATAAATTTATGTGCAAAATTATTTTATTAGAATAATATATAATTAAATATAAAATTTGGAAAAAAATAAAATTTTAGGAACGTATGCCAAACAGAGCCTTTGTTTGAAAAATAGATTTTATAATAATGATTTTTTGGAAAATATGTAATTAAAACTTCAAAGTAAAAAAAAATTAGAATCACGTGCAAATTATTTCATTAAGAGAACGTATGATTAAAAATAAATTCAACGGAAAAAGAATTTTGAAAAAGGGGTTTCAAGTAGAGATGACAATTTTCCCCTCCCCGCCCCGTCCCCCGTGGGGCCCCGCCCCAAATGGAGCAAAAAAACCCGCCCCGAACGGGTTGGCGGGTCGATGTTTCCCGCCTCGTTGCTGGTCGTGGGGCGGGGCGGAGATACCTCGCCCCGAACTCGCTCCGTGAAGAATTAAAAAAAAAAAAAATTGTTTTGGACATTATTTTGTTTCAAGTGCTTGCTTTAAATATTGATATAGTTAGTTTGAACATTATTTGCTTTGAATTTGTATTTTAAATAAAAATAAAAATAAAGAAAAACAAATGGGGCAAGAAACGAGGCAAGTTACCGTCCCGTCCAAGGCGGGGTGGGACGCGGGATGGAGAGAGGGAGTGGCGTGGTGGAACGGGATGGGGTGAGGGTGCCTCGCCTCGAATCCGCCCCATTGCCTTCACTAGTTTCAAGGCAAGTGATTGGCGAATTTTGCTTTCTTAAAACTGCGCAATTATATTCCAACATGAACTTCCAACCTCATTCAAGCCAAGTTGACCCATTGATATAATATCTAACCCTACAAAATCCAAGGTGCAGCATTATCCTTACGTGGCACATGATCATTGGTTTCTCGGATATTCTTTAGCTTTGTCCCGGACCCCACCCCCATCCCCTTCTCTCTCTCACCCGTTACTCGACAGAGACCACGTTGTATGTTTAGGCCCGCAGACTACAAGTTTGAGAAACCAACGGATCATGTTAACTCATCACCCCTCCCAATCTTAAAAATCATTTTAGGCAAATTGCACTATGCTCCAGACAACCTCAACGACACCGAAGAAGGGGGAAGAAGAGAAGGCTAAGTTTTAAGTTTTACTCGAGTTTGCCTTTTTCCTGGGTCGGGTCCGAACTCGTTTAATGGAGTTCCCGTTGGTGTCACGGGCTCCGAATCCCCCGGTAACTTGGTTTTGTAACTATGAGTTGCCGGCGAGAATAATAGAGATGAAAAAGAAGAAGGGAGTATTGGCAAATAGTGGGGTGGTGAGGGCGGAGAGGAGTGGTGGTGCTGGTGGAAAAGCGGTGGAGAGAGAAGAAAGAGACAGTCGGGTATATAGGACGGGTTCCGGTATGGAGGTTACCACATTTAATGAGAGCTTTAACGATGCTGAATTTTCAGTCTGGGAAAAGATTGGAACTGTTGTTAGACTAAGTTATGGAATTGGTAAGTCTTTTACTTTCTTTTTTTTATTTCATTCATTTACTGGAGGAAATTTTTTTTTTTTTTCTTCATTTGCTGCTATATGAATAATAAGGAAATTGATATGGGATATAATTGAAGTTTAAAGAAAACATAAAAGTGAAGTTACAGTATTAACAAGATAGGATTTTTGTTTCTCCATTGTCAATTGGCTGATGTAAAAAGTTACTTTTTTTTAAAAAAAGTAAGTTTTTGAATATTAATAAAAGTGTGCAAAAAATAAATAAATTCTTTGTATGTAATCCATGCGTGCTTTTTTGCGGAAAGCAAAACCTGTACTTTAAATGGGAAAAGATACTTTTTTTGAGAAGTGGATTCTCATTATTTGGCTGAAAAATTATATGATACCACTCCCAGTGGCCTTTTTACCCACCTTATGATTATTTATTCATGATTCAATGGCCCACTGAAGAATTTTCTCTTCATTTATCATTAGAAGGAAGTGTCATGTCGAAATTTTCACAAAAAGTTTGTGGGAAGAATTCTTTAAATTAAGGAGAATGGCACTTTCTAAATTCATTTTCGTCTACTTTTGTAACTACAGGAATATACGGCGCCATGGCTTTGGCAGGAAGTTTTATATGTTCGATCACTGGAATTGATACCTCGGGAGGATTTGATCTATCATTAGATGCCATTGTGGAGGGATTGGGATATGCAGCTCCTCCTATAATGGCCCTTCTATTTATTCTAGATGTAAGTTGGAGACTTGGAGCTCAAAACTCAATTATATATTCTTCACACGGTCTCTTGTGCACGGTGTTGCTTAAAAAGCATTTATAGCATGTTTGGTTACGCTTAAAACTTAATTCTCGAAATTGTTAGTCTAGACTTACGTTCTAGAAAAGTAAGTTTTGTCAGTGGAAAAAGTAGCTTTGAAAATTATGTTTGGCAAAACAAGTAATTTAAAAGTAAATTTGACTTAGCACAACCAAATGATAAACAATAAAAAAGTAAGTATTCAAAATGTTCAGAGACTAAAGTTCAAGTAAAAATGACTTTAGTTTTTCCTTTAGTGTTGTTTAGTAGTGCTTTAAGTGCTTTTAAGCTGTGGGTCATAAGGAAAGTGTGGATAGTAAGTTGTGGGTTCTGCGAAATTTGATGATAAAAAATATGTTTGATTAAAATTTAAGCTTTGCCAAACATGCTCTTCATTCTTTAATCTTAGAAGACCCTACGTTTTGAGTTATAATATTTATTGGAGAATGCATACACAAACACTAAACCTCTTCTCCCTAATATATTGAATCTCTAAAGCAAACTATCACACTTTGCAGGATGAAGTTGTAAAATTCTCACCTCATGCCCGTGCAATCAGAGATGTAGAGGATGAGGAGTTACGGAGCTTCTTTTACGGAATGTCACCATGGCAGGTAATGGATTTGGCACATTGTGATATTCACAGATGTTTGTAGATAGTGTGTCCTTGATTACATTATAGTGTTATATTGATACATTTTAATGTGACGTTGCAGTTTATACTCATTGTTGCTGCAAGCTCTATTGGAGAGGAGCTTTTCTACCGTGCTGCTGTTCAGGTCAGTTCCGCTGGTGACCTCATCTTTCTTGACACTTGACCCTAGTATAATATTTAGGCTCAAATGACTTCAACTACTTATAGTTAATCAACTAACAGCAAATCGTTACACTTAAACTTGATCAGCAGGTAGCTTTTTAAGTAGAATTAGTAACCTCATAATCCTGCTTAATAAATTAAGCACGACATGGATGGATTTTCAGCTTACCAGCTTACTACGAGTCATGACAATCTTTTAATAGCAATGTGATTTTTCCTCAACATTAAAAAGGCGTGATGTGATTGCTAATGATTCGATCGAATTGGATTTTGTTGTAAACACACTAATGATTGCATCAGATCTTGTTATAAATTTTCTGATGAACGGAACAAAATGGTGAAAACGTTACCATATTGACATAAGTGTTGATCTTTTAATAGTAACATTTGTTTCTCAAAATTAACATGGCGTACATGATTGCTAAGGATTTGATTACTTAAGATCTTCCTATACACTAATGAAGGAAATGGTGAAAACATATTCTTGTAGACGATCCCAATTTATTTACAAGAATACTAGTTTCTAGTTGTGTCTATCTTTGCAGGGAGCCTTGGCTGATGTATTTTTGAGGAGCGGTGATTTGGTTGGAGATGCTCGAGGAATGACATCTCTGGTAAAATTGCTAAACTTGTTCCTTGAAGTCATAAACGCGACCTATGATCAAATTTCTTAGTTTAAATTAAAATCTTAATTATATTTTGGCTATTTGATCCTACATCTAAATGTAGAAAGCCAATTCTGGTTTGTTTACTGGTTTCTTTCAATATAGGCTGGTGTGCTTCCTCCGTTTGTACCATTTGCACAGGCATTTGCCGCTGTCATCACTGCTGCTCTTACAGGTTCACTTTACTATATGGCAGCCTCTCCGAAAGGTTGGTTTAATCAGTTTCCAAAGTGTTTCACGTCCTTGTCTATATTTCAATATGATCTGAACCCAAAAATTTCTCATTTTTGTATTCAGACCCCACCTACGTAGTTGCACCAATACTGAAGTCCCATTCCGGCCGCAAAGAACTGAAAAAACTATTTTCAGGTTCAATCATTTTTCCCATATTTATGATCTACTTTCCATTTTTAGAATAATCATGTTTCTTGTGGCATCTAATTGGTACATTTCTACTTGCAGCCTGGCACGAGAGGCGGCAAATGAAGAAGATATACTCTCCCTTACTTGAAGCATTTCTTGCTCTTTATCTTGGATTCGAATGGATCCAGGTAATCGAAGTTGATGAGTTTGTAAATGTTCAGTCTTGATGGAGATCGCATTTAAGAAAATATGGCTCACATTATTTTTCCATGCTTGTCAGACGAATAATATTCTGGCACCTATTATAACACACGGTATATACTCGGCCGTCATCTTGGGCCACGGCCTTTGGAAAATTCATGATCACCGACGAAGACTCCGCCAGAGAATTCAACAGCTTAAACTAGAAGGTAAAGATTGAAGGAGATTACGAGACTGGTGTATAACAGGGAGTTAAACTGTTGGTTTCAAAAGGACATTTTCACATTTTACCCAGAAAAGGCTGGTTGTTTTTATCTGAATATATTTGCACCATAGATGTTTATTGTAGAAACAGGAAGACAGTAAATATACATAGTTGCAGAGGCAGGGTTTGTACATTAAAAACAATAAACATAGTAGAGACAATTGGAACTCTCTTTTGGGTTGTGTGCTTTCATTTATTCAGTTACATCAAGATTCTTACTTGTGTAGGATTATTGGACCTATTCTTATAGGAATCGAGATTTGTTGTCTCAGTAAGGTTGTCCAAATCTCGATCTTGTATGTGTGAGATTTAAGTCTAATTTACGAACTGGAAATCAGAGCCCCCAAATAGTCGAGTATTCTTTAATTGATAGAATTCAACGCTCTTTTTTCCACCATATACTTGAAGTTGGATGTGACATAGATCCTAATGGAATTTCTATATGTGGCAATCACTTTAGTGGAAGATTATTTGCCGGTTGAGCCTACTCTCAAGATATTGGCTGAGCATGAGTGCATGACTTGGAATGGCTTGATTTTATTATAAAAAAAAATTTCAAATAAAATCTATTCCATTATTTAGAAAACTAATCTTATATTAAACAAAACTCTCAATTGGAGGAATCTTGTTAAATTTAATATTCATTTGTTTCTACTATTTATTCTCATTGTCATTGGTCTAGTAACCATGTTTTTTTTTATAATCGTGGGTGTCCGGGCCAACTTGCACGTACCTCGATTAATACCACGAGGCCTTGAAGTTTACGCTCGGGTACTCACCTCAGTAGCTTGAGGGGATTGGAACTGATGACCATTAGAGAACAAACTCAAAACCTGACCAATTGAGCAAACCCGCAAGGTTCATCAAGTAACCCTGCTTCAACGAAGATATTGCAGTCATCTCTTTTGACATTTAATTTGTGTTCTATTAATTGACTCCGAGAACAAATTAATACTTCAACAAATTCGATCTTAATTTTTTTAATATTAAACAAGTATATGAAAATTATCCAATGAAAGAAGAATGATTAAAAGTTCTCCGCCAGTATTCACTCTCTCTATTGAGAAATTCCTCTGTTTGTAAACCTCCTCGGAAGAAATACCAACATTTTATGTGATATGATTTCCGATTTCAAACCTTTAAAAGGCGAGGTTTTGAATTTTCAACTTATTTAAATCTAGATATTTCCGATTGATCTAAATCGTCAACGTGAATGTTAAAATTACATGTGACTTTTCATTTTAATTTAAGAGAATGTCAAGTGATTGACGAGTTTACTTTTAACTTTAAGTCAAGTGAAAGTTGCATGGATTTTCAAAACCTATATTAACATTTTTGGTCATATAGAGATCGAAAATTGCAGATTGAAATAAATTGAGGACCATAATCACATAAAATGAAAAGTTGGAGAGCCCAATCGTATTTTTCCTTTCTTTAGTCCACCTCTTTCGGTTCCGCCCAGTATTTTATTTCACTTTATACTCTTCACACCGGAATTTATAAATTAAACAAATTCTAAGCCTGCATTTTCACATCATATTCATACACTAGAATCTCGCTTCCCCGCCTCTTATGGATTCCCAAGATTTCTCGGCACGGCTTATGCACCATCAGCCGCAGCACCATCACGCGCCGCCGCCACATCCCACCATGCTTGTCGGCGGTCAGCCGCAAACCCAGCTCACTCAACCACAGCACAACAATTCCTACCCCAACAGTACTGTCACTCCCACAAACACCAACGTTAACAACAGTAGTGGTATGCTTCACCACCAGCAACATTCGAATGTAAATCCAAACCCTAGATTCCCGTTTAACTCGGTTGGTGCGCTGAAACAACCGGATCATTACTCTGATGGGCCGCCTTCTGCTGGTGCTGGAGGGTTCAGCATCGAGCCATCTCGGAAAAAAAGGGGCCGACCCAGAAAGTACTCCCCTGATAACAGCATTGGGCTTGGACTTTCGCCTACTCCTGCTGCCCAAAACTCATCTATGGTTGTTCATGGGAATTCCAGCGGCGGCGGTGGTGGGATCTCATCTCCGGAAACTCCTGCGAAGCGTAACCGAGGCAGACCTCCGGGTTCTGTAAAGAAACAGATGGATGCATTAGGTTGTTAACTTGTGCATTTATTATGTGCTATGATTATATACTGATTACTGTGTGTATAATGTATATTGAATGGATATAAACTTGGTGTTGTGCTGATTTATGTAATTTTCGTTGGGCAGGAGTGCCGGGAGTTGGCTTTACACCGCACGTTATTACCGTTAACGCTGGCGAGGTAAATTAATGTGTTTTATTCATGTTAATTTCTATCGGAACCATGTTATCCTTTTGACAAATATAGTCCTATAAATAGTTTTGTCTATAACAGGTAGCAAGATCAACAGTTTTTCTTAATAGTCCATGCGAATCTTTGCATTATCTCTTACATTGCAGCATCTCTAGGAGTTACAACTTGTAAAATGACCTGGCATTTAGATACACTATAACTATAAATAGGTCAGTTTGGCCAAGTGATATTTGAAATAGTTCCATTAACACAAGGTGCTGGAAATCAAATATAGTGTTATTCTATTTTATTAAGTTAGGATATAGTTCACTTTATATCCAATTTTAACTTTGAGGAGATGCCTGAAATTCATAACATAATAATCTGTAAGTATCCAACTCTAATGAATTAAGTAAAAGAAATGTATACAATCTAGGGTATCGGAGGTTGCCAGCTATTGTGCTAAAATTTGGACTTAATATTCATGTTTGAAGAAATGCTGTAAATTCCTTGTGGAAATCTCTTGAGATCATTTCGCATGAATCCATGAACACAAATAACTAATTGCTTAATTTTTATAATTTTATTTTGGGAATAAGTTAATGTGTTGGACAGCTTCTATGCAACAAGGGATGTGAGCTTGACTGATTGTATCTTTCTCTAAGATGATCAATAAAGACAGATGAAGCTGAAGGTTTAAACTAGAAATGGATAATTAGGTTACACTGTTGGCACATGCTTACAGCATGCGACACGCGGTGCATGAAAATTAGGTTCCTTGGACCATTTCTTTTTTTAGTAGAATGGGATAAGCTGGGAAACTGTGACAAATTCATCCGCTCCATGGTTAACTGGTTGGTTGAGTTCTGTTTTTAGTTTTTACCAGTTTTTATTTATCAGGTTATAAAGCTTATATCCGGCCTAGTATTTGGTCTCTCGGTTGAACTCGCCGATTCCGTTTTAATAACATTGATTCAGCCTTTAATCACTGAAGAACGCTAGTTTAGTAATATACCCAAATAGATCATAAATCCAAGATATAGGTATATTGAAGTTTAGCCTTGCAATATATATAGAGAGAATCTGTCATGAATCACTGCCTTTGCAACTCTTTGTATATAATTAATCAGTAAATTATTTTTCTTGCATGGGAATCTAAGTTTAACCTAATAGCTTTGCAATGAGACTAGTCCTGCTAAAATTTTTCTAAGGAAATATGTTATCAAATCAAATTCCTTTCGCTTTGGAAATTTGAATGTAAAAGGCTGAATTATGTAGGTAGCCTATACTGTGCTCTAGCTCACCAGAGCATGGAGCGAGGTTCCTAAATCTCGGGTATAGCTGAAGCATGAACAGAAAATAAGTATGTAAACATATAGTTTGAAAATGATATGGGAATAGTTTTATATTGCAAGTACCGAAGAGAATAAAGAGAAGAAACAAGGTATGATAAGTACATGGCCACACTTGCCAGTTGCTACATTACCTATCCATGTTACTGACATTTTCAATTTCACTTCACTTTTGGAAAGGAAGGATTTCTCTCTCCAGTCAAAATCATTGTAATGGAAGACCTCGGGTAAATACATTAAATGATTAGTGGAACTGCAATTAAATATCTGAATCATGAAAAACATTTTTATATAATGAAAATTCTCTCATAAGAGGTTGAGTCCTCAAAGTATTGGATTTCCATCTGCATGAATGTGCTCTGGATTCCGTAACTTGCTGAATTGGGGACCAATTAATGGAGTCCACAATTTATTTTTCCTAGATTGTGGCTTACTTAAAAATGAACATAGCTGTCCACGCTGTGTTCTTAACCTATCTATAATGATCTAAAACGTTTAGGAATTGAAGATATATGACTTAGAATTTAAAACTTATAATACTATAAGCTAACCCATCGCTATATTTTTTTTATGACCATAAGTGTGTCGGACGTGTGTCTAACCTGTCATTGTTGTTCCCTCACCATGGAAAGCAATAAAAATCATGGGCACTACACTTTGATGGGACGTTGGACACCAAAATCTTTAGTTTGCTAGTCCCTCCTAGTTTATAGAGAGAGGGATCTTGCCATCTTGGTTAGGAAATTATAAGCATGTTTGAGGTGGCTTATCTTAAAGATAAGCAACAAATGTGTAGCTTATTTTTAATGTGGATCCACCTACATTCAAAATAAGCTAACATAAGCTATACATTTGGAGCTTTTTTTTTATTATTAGCCACCCTGGCTTATCTTAAAGATAAGCAACAAATGTGTAGCTTATTTTTAATGTGGATCCACCTACATTCAAAATAAGCTAACATAAGCTATACATTTGGAGCTTATTTTTATTATTAGCCACCCCAATCATGCTCTATATTTGAATTGACAAGATGCTTGGATTTATAACTCTTGTTAGAAGTGGGCAGTTGTAGTGATTGTTATTACACTTGAATTTATGACTCCTGTTAGAAGGACTGTTGGTAATTTAATTACATCTTAGTGATGGAAGCATAATAACTAAATAACTGTACAATCTATTTATCAATGAATTGTTTGTACTGTCAAACGAAAACATTTATTGTCATATGTGAACTTAATTACTCAATGCATAATAATTTATGTCTCCAGAGTTGCATCGGATGATTTACCTTAGGGTCCAGGTAATGTCAAGCATGTCATGAGATCTTTTTGGTTCAGTTTGAATTTAATTAATCCAAACATGGAGTCTTAGGACTTTGAAATGCTAACATGTTGGGCTTGTTCATAATATTCTTGTATTTGACATTTTTTTCAAATGCTAACCTGCTAAAGTATGATGTTGAGTTCCACAAACATTGAGGAAATAAATGCCTAGGATTAGGTGTAAATATGAATTTTCCAAGCATTGAGTCATGGCAAAGAAGTCATGGAAGCACATTGAGCTAGAATTTTAAGCTCATACAATCCTAGTAAATTTGTCGTCTTTCCTTCCTTTTACATGAGAAGGAAACGAGCATAGTTGAACGAGGCTGGTTCCTGTATTGCAAAGTCCAGGACTTATTTTGCCACTTCTTTATGCTATTGAACTGAATAACTCTTCATTTGAAAAAATAGAAATAAAAATTGTGCATTTGTTGCAGCTAGGTCCCTAATTTTTGAACCTTTTGACGATGGGGTCCTGAACCTTTAATTTTAGCACCCACTCAAAATTCTTTTGGTTTCCATTTGACAGTTAAAAGGTCAAATTTGGATAAAATGACCATTGTACCCTTAGTTTAATAACATAAAAAGGAAAGCAAAAGCAAAATTAGAGAAAAATAAATAAAGAAAAGAAAAAGAAAAAATTGAAACAATTTTTTTTCTTCCTCTATCTTACCAAAACCCACCCACCAATACCCCCATACCCCCACCACCCCGTCCATAATATCACCAGCGTCACTTCCCACCATGCCAACCCACTGCCTTCCTAGCCCAACCGGCTCCGTCGATCCCCACCAAGCTCCAAAGAAATGCCCTCCTCTTCTCGAACAGTTTTCCCAAAAGTTCTACTTAATGCCGGCCAAGAATTGCAATCCAAGAACACAACCAATAATTGCAACCCAAAATAGCAGCCCAAACTTGCCCAAAACTCCCAAAGTCAATTTCCATAAAGAGAATGTTGATTATAATTACAAATACAATCCTAGACCTCTCATAATGATGAACTCCACAATGGCAATTATGGTGAATTCAGCCATGTGAAATCATTTTTGTATACAGAATATTGATCGCTGTCATAGGGCCACCATTTGTCGCATCCAAGAAATTAATTGAACCCCATCGTTTGCTGATTACATGCCAAAATTGGACTGTGATATGCCAAAAGCAGTTTTTGGCACAAAAGAAGTCGCACTTTGTGACATTTGATCAATCAAAGTCAATATGACAAACATAATTTTATTAATCACGACATAAAAATACATGCATCAAGAGTACACATCCTCTTAAATATTAGAAAAACAGGTTTAGAAATAAAGAACACATCACATTTTCCAAGTCCCAACCAAGAGCAATTAAATATAAAAGGAAGTTCATAAATTCCTTTGATGTAGAAGCCTGTAAAGAATTCGAAAGCTTTGCTATCTCCAACTAATTGCCAAGCTATTGTTTTTTCTTCAAAAATTATGTAGTTCCATTTATTTCCAAACTACCAAAGAAATAGGCAACACCACAGCTTTCCATTTAACGTCACCAACGGAAGTTAAAATATGCTATCCCTTAAATCTCAATGGAAGTGAAATTTCAAGCAGTGGAATTGTTACCAAAAGTTGAACAAAGTTGATGGAAACATTTTTTAGGGACTAGACATTACAATCTTGGAAGGGACTAAAGCCAAATAGCAATGGTCCCTTCAGACATCTTCACATAATCTTATTTTGTCCGCATCCCATTTTGTGAACTGAATAAAGAAAAAAATAGACCTTGAGGTATAGACTTGCAAGGATTCCCTAGAGACTTGTAGTCTGTTCGAATTTCATCCATTTGGGTTCATTTCATAAAGAGAATTGCTCTAAAAGAAATCTCCATTGACATTTTCGTATCAATTCTCAAATTTTAACCTGAGATTGCCCATTTCCAACCCTCCTTTGCTCTTGCTATGCATGAGAAAAACTAAATGTGATTGCATTAAATCGTGGGACGTGAGTACACATTTTTATTTTCAAGAATCAGATGTGGAAGAAATAATTGATCAAAATGAGATAGTCACATAAAATAGGATTGATGAGCCATTGTTATTGGGTACAATACACTTGAACATGTTTTTTTCTCTATAGAATATGTTCATCTGATGGTTGAGAGAGATCAGCTAGGTAAATACTCGAAGAAGTTTACTTGGTTGGAAGGATTTTTTTTTTTGTGAAGTATGCTATGGTTTAGATTCATATTTAGCCTACCCTACATCCCCAACTAAAGCTGAAAAGTGGCAACTACATTCGTGTTTGGTTTTCTTAACCAATGTTGGTATCGATTTGCAGGGTTCTTGAGTTATCAATATTTGTTTTGACTTGTTTAAAGTACATTTGAGGATCTTTTGGTGGTGTTATCCTTTTAAAATTTCCTAATCACAGTTATACAGAGAAAACTCTCATGACTTTGTTTTTTGTTTGGTGACCTACTTACCTTCTTTTGTAGGATGTAGCTTCAAAGATAATGGCTTTCTCACAGCAAGGACCACGCACAGTTTGTGTTTTATCTGCTAATGGTGCCATCTGCAATGTCACCCTCCGTCAACCAGCAATGTCCGGTGGCACCGTAACATATGAGGTCTGCAGAATATTCATTTTAGACCTGTCTACATTCAAATACTTGGTTTGGATGCTTAAAATTTTGTCAGAAATGCTATATATGGTTAAGTGAGATCTCAATATGGTCTCTCTACGCCCTTTTTCGTGTTGGTGGTTGCATGGGGTTCTTACTGTAATCATCTACTGATGTGTCATATATAACTTTTCCATGTCTTGCTGTCCTGCTTGTGTGTCCATGCTAAGCCTGCCAATAACAGTATGATATGCGTTCCACAATCTGTAGGCTCAGAGATATTTGTTAAGCTAACAAGTTGTGGTGACAGTACCAGCTATTGAGGCTCCCTATTGTATTTAAGTGAAGTTGCACATTCCATTTCAGTCTATCAGCTCTATTTTCATCCATTTCTTCATTAGATATATTTGTATATATGTTTAACAAGTCATTCTCGATAAATTTGCATTGAGATTAAAGTATGGATTAAAAGGTCGGCATTATCTACTTTAATTGAATGTCACAAGTTTTGCGAACTCAAAAAAATCCTCACATGCTATGATGCTTGGACTCTCCAAAAATAGAGAAGTATCCGTGTCGACAAGACACGACACGGATACTAACGCGGGATATGGATCGGATCTTTGGTTTTGAGGTCGGACATGGCAGCAAAAGGGAGAAGACGGCTGCCTTTTGGCTTCGCGTCTAGGGTTTTGCAGGAGTCGAGGAAGGTATGTGGGTGCAAAAAGAAGGTAGACGAGAAGACGGCTGGATTTTGGCTTTAGGGTTTTGCGGGAGTAAAGGGAGGTAGAGGGATGCAGAAAGAAGGTGGATGGATGCAGAAAGGTGGGAGTTGGGGAAGACGAGGCGGCTATTGGGTTTGCTGGTTAGTGGGCTTTTAGTTAGCTTGGGCCTTGGGCTTTAGGAAATAGAATGTTAAAATTCTAGGTTATTATGAGAATAAGGTTTTGGGCTTATGGATAAGTGGGCTTTAATGAAAATTGAATATTTTGTGTTGGTAAGTGAGCAGGTTTTTTTTTTTTTCTAACAAGTAAAAACAACAAATAAAAGATGAACTAACTATTTATTTTGAGTTTATTTTTGTATTTAATTTCTTATTTCTTATATTTATGTGTATGAACTTTTTATTTTATAATAAAAATGATTTTAGTGTTATGTTTTTTGGTATTAAATTTAAATTTATTTGTATAATATTTTTAAATAATATATAAGATATTGAAATTGATTTTTTTTCCTTTAATTTTTTTGAAAAAAATTTATTTTAACTTTAAATTTTAAATGATTTCAAATTATAATCCAATTCCTTAAAAATATATTTTGTAAGACGTATTCACGTACCCGTATCCAAAATTAGGATTATTTTTAACCGTATCCCCGTATTTTAATTTTAAAAATGAGAAGGATCCGACTTCTACATATGTGTATCTGTATCCGACATTCGCATGAGCATCATAGCTCACACGTACATATTTTGATCAAATGACTTCCAACCCTTCTCTTATTTAGTATGTTAAGATTCAAATTGAAGAGAGATCTCTTCAAATCCTAGCTTGTGCCTAGGACGTTGTCAATTTGAGAATGGTTTGCTTGTTACTTACACTATACTTGCATGTTTTCAGTTGTTTGAGCTTGTGCATAATGGTGCATTCTCTATTTGCAGGGCCGATTTGAAATCATCTCTTTGACAGGTTCCTTCCTACTGTCAGAGAGTAATGGTAACCGCAGTCGAACAGGTGGTCTAAGCGTGTCGTTGGCTGGGTCAGATGGTAGAGTCTTAGGTGGTGGAGTTGCTGGAATGCTTAGGGCAGCATCACCTGTACAGGTACTATTTTGATGTGCTCTCTCTCTCTCTCGTGAGTATGATATCAACTAAACCATATTTTTCTCAACCAGATTGTGGTGGGAAGCTTTATTGCTGACGGGAAAACCCCGAAGTCTGGGCCGCCTTCTGCACCACCTCCAAATATGTTGAATTTTGGTGCTCCAATAACCGGTGGCAGTCCTTCCCCAGATGCCTCCAGTGACTCATCCGAGGAGAATGGTGGCAGCCCTCTCAACTCTGGCTCGGAACCTTATGGTAATGTTGGCCAGCCAATTCAGAATATTTCGATGTATTCAAACATGGTTTGGCCAAACTCCACCATCAAAATGCATCCCAATTAACAAACACAAAACTCCTTGGAATATTTACATGTGGTTTCAGCTACAAGTCTAGAGGTCGATTTTTAATGCTAACCGGCGGTTCATTGGCGCTCTTCCTTCCCATCTTAGAGTGAAGGTTTACTTCTGCATAATCATTTTCTTCTCTTCCCATAAGCTATTTTATCGTTTGGTAGGTTCATATGGTCACTTTCATATTCATATATGGATGATTGAGTGCAAACCTTACCTTGACAGGCTTTGTTTGCCATCTTAGTTTTTTCTCTTTTCATTTTTAGTGAAACTTTTCTTGTGCCTGAAGTTTTATGTCTTGAAAGTATTTCATTTCATATTATTAGATGTTCAAGCGTTTCAATGGAATGGGAATCATTACAAGAAAGCTCGTTATGTAACAAGAAAACTGAAAAGTAAAACGAGAAAATATGAAATGCAGGTTGATTCGAGAAAATCTGGACCTCGCCTCCGAAGACAAACGAACTATATGTTTGTAGAAATAATTAATTGACTGCCATTGTTCAATTGCTTGTCTACTTTCGACTTTGTAGAAATCCTACAAATGTTAGGGTATTTGTTCATCCTCGTAAGAACTATTACTGGTACATTTAGTATTATTAGCAAGTGTGGATTGAAAATTTTTGTCCCCACAAATCAATGATGTGAACAATGGTGTTGCTTGTCTTTATAAAAATAGATCTTTACTTGATTTAAAACTCTGAAATAAACAGGTTTTTTACTTTTTGCTCTCCTCTCCTCTACAATGGTAAGGGGCCTAAGTTAGCAGGCTGGCCCAGACCCTTTGACACCCCTTGACATAAGCAAAGGTCCCTTGCCTGTTTGAGGTACAAATTTCTTTTGTAGAAGCAACAACCTTTGCCCATTCAGTTAAGGAGTTGTACTCAGACGTACTTTTCTAGCAAGCTACTAGGCCAGAGTAGAGTCCCTAAGTAGGATGGAATGGGAACACGAACAAAACTGTCAACCGAAGACTTGTCTTTGTCCACCACCAAGTGGCGAAGGAGAGGAGTCGAGACAGAAATAAGAGGGACTTCCATGGCTAAAGGTTAGGCACTAAAAGTTACATAACTGGCCAATTTTATACATCTTGTTCTTTGGAGCACTACTGTCAATCAAGGACCAGTTAACTTGTTTCTCCAGGTGGATATAATGGAACAAAAACCCGCAAAATGCATAATCTGAACTGTATGTATGAGCATTAATAGGTTACAAGAGCTTGCAAAGAAGTCATGCCACCTTTCATTAGAAAACACTCAGATATGCATTTCTTATATTAGTCACTACCTTAAGGGCCTGCATGGGAGTTTTGGAGTACCGGTTATGAGTATTTTTTAAAGTATCGATTTTGAGCATTTATGAGCGGAATGGTTTTGAGTGATTTTAGTAGCGATTTTTAAAAAAGTCCAACCAATGTTTGAGAGTTTATTATACAACGGTTCTAAAAGTTTTTTTAAAAAAATAAAATTACACATACGTCCCTTAGTGAAAATTTTAAATTATAGTTTCCTGTATAAATTTGTTTTACTCATAAGTTATATTTTACTTATTGGTAATTGTTTTTACATAGAAGTTACTATTTAACTTAAAAAGTAAAATATTTATTTAAAAATTCAAGGTAGTTTTTTTTTTTTTTTTGCCTATACGTAAACTTTACAATTATAAGTTAATTTTGTAAAATATTTTCACACCAGTAAATTTTTTACTTATAAGTAATTTTTATATTTTATAAGTGAATTTTTGTAAATTTTTACTTTATAAACAAATTTTACACAAAAGTGATTTTTTATCATATAAATAATATTTTACTTATAAGTAATTTTTTTGCTTATAAATAATTTTTTAGTTAATATATTTTTATTTACAAGTTAGCTTTGAAGAAAATATGTTGGTTGTGAAAATATATTTTATAAAAGGTAAAATTAGAAAGGAATATGAGAAACGGCCAAAATCCGCCGATTGGTATGTTGAAAGAACCGATGAAAATTACACAACACCAATTTTATGTGATTTTTAAACCATCGAAAACTAGAGTTTAAAAAAAGTAGAAAGCACCTATTTTTGCTACCCTCATAAATAGTGTCAACTCATAATCGATCAAAATCGATGAAAAAAACTCTCAAGCAAACCCTAAAACTTTAGACAAGTAGAACAACACTCGTAATAGAGGTACTACTGACCTCTCTAACATGATGGATTGTTGTCTAGATTATGTTGGGTTCTCTGGGGATCACTATACTTGAACCAACGATCTCAGGTGTAGAAGAGATTGGACAGAGTGCTGATTAACTTGGCAGCTGTATTTTTTTGTCTACTGCATTCTGTGGGGCATCTAAATCAGACTTCATTTGATCATTCGCCTTTACTTCTACAGTGATCTGCAGATGATGACTTAGGGCCTAGGGCTTTTCGATTCTTTAACGATTGGACCAAGCACCATGCCTTCTCAGACTTCGTCTATCAGAAATGGTCACTTCCTACTCATCTTACTGGGATGTATGTTCTTTACAAAAAGTTCTTTAGGCATAAACAAGGATTGCTTTGGTGGAATCAACACATATTTGGTGATGTTTTCCAGAGGGTTAGGGATGCTGATTGTGGGGTTGGTAAGGCAGAAAGGGAGTATGGTTTGGAGCCTAAACTAGAGCAGCATGATTCATTACATCAGGCACATCAGTACCGAATCCGACCTTATCCATTGAGGATGATTTTTAGAAGCAGGAGGTCAGTTCATGCTGGGTGTATGAAGGGGATCGCAACACCCAATACTTTTACTCGTTTGTTCAGGGATTTCGCATTCGATCTATTATCCAGTCCATTAAGATCTAGTCAGGGAAAGTTATATCTACTCTTGATGGGATTCAGAGTTCGACTATCTCCTGTTATTAGGATCTTCTATTTGCTCATTCACAACCCGTAAACCTTATACATCCCGACATTATTCACAAACTTGTGACTGAAGTGGTACTTAATCGTTCCTCTTTTATTCATGAGGTACGGGATGTGATATTTTAACTATTGATGCTAACAATGTCTCTTGCCCTGATTGCTTCTCATCCTTACTCTATCAGCATTGTTTGGATATCATACAAAATGATTTGTTTGATCCGTGTTGGACTTCTTTGTTAGTGGTCGCCTACCTAGGGTTTTTCCAGCTATTTCTATTATTTTGCTCCCGAAGAGGAAGAAGACATGTAGATGGATGGAGTTCACAGACCGATTAGCTTATGTACGATGTTTAACAAGTTTATCACTAAGCTGTTAAATACTGAATTAAGTAATGTGTTGTTGCGTATTATATTTCCTCAAAAAATTGGATTTATCCCTGATCTCCTGATTGGGGATAATATTTTATTGGCTCAAGAGCTTCTCCACACTTTGGATACTGGGGAGAGAGAAGGGAATGTAGTGCAGAAGTTTCTATCTAAAGCATATGATCTCATGGATTGAAGTTTCTTTTATTCTATTCTAGATGGCTTTGAATGATCAACTATGGATTTATAAGATCAGGAGGTGCATTTTGAAATGTCGATTCTCAATACTCTTGAATGGCTACCACTATGGTTTATTTCCCCTTTCTCTGGGTCTTTGACAAGGCGATCCCATCTCGGTATTTCCCTTCATCATTGCTACCGACTACTTTTTTCGCTTACTCACATAGTAGTTTTAGACTTACCCTATTATAGATTATCGGCATGGAGGTGTACTCTTGTCTCACATCTATCTTTCACTGATGACATGATTATATTTACCAAAGACCATAAGCAGTCTATTCGGAGGTTACTTGAAGCACATTTTTGGTCTGTTGATTAATAGAGATAAGAGTGGACTTATACTTCTTTGAAAAATATCCATTAGCCAAATCTGGAGATTGGAACATTTGACTTGCTTTAGACACTAGCAACAACCATTTACTTATCTAGGGGTCCTTTTTATATCAGGGTGTTAAGTGGATTTTCTTATATGATGACCTTATTCAGAAGGTCAGGAGCAGGATATCATGTTATGCCTATATTCATTATCTTTTGAGGTCAGGTCCTGCTATTGAAGTTCGTTCTTTCCTTATATCACTTTATCTATTTCAAATCATACAGCCTCCTGAAGATGTATTAAAGAAATTGGAGAGCATCTTTGCTTGATTTCTTTGGGACTCTAAGGATCAAGAGCAAAGATTATACTAGAGGAGATGGAAGAATCTTTGACTTTCTATTGATGAGGGTGGACTAGGTTTGAGGAGATTGCATGACATGGTTAATACTTTTTCCCTAAAGGCTTTTCCGTATATAGAGATCGTTGTGGGCTCAGTTCTTATTGGGCAAATATTGTACGAGAACTCGATCTCTACTTGCATCTGTTCCATATTCAGCTTCACATATTTGGAGGTGGTTGCAGTTGGTTAGACAACAGGCATGTTGGATGGACAATGCTACTTTGGCATCCTTATTCTCACAACGACAACACTTTTTTGCAAGGGTACGAGACATTTATGAAGACTCGGGATCGGATATTCGACAATTGTTACAAGTACTTCCACCATCTATGGTTCAACAGATTGAGGCTATACTTCTATGGACAAATGCCTTGGATATAATTATCTGGAGGGATACATCGAATGTTAGTTTTGTTACCATGTAAGCTTGGTAGCTAGTCCGCTCTAATAGATAGTCTCAAAATTCATATGGAGTGATGTGGAGCTCCATTATACCTACTACGGTTTCTATCTTTCGCTGAAAACTTTGACTGGATTGCTATCGATCGATGTGGCCACTTAGAGGAGGATTGACTATCACATGGCCTCCCGTTGTCAGTGTTGCTTGGAGATCAAGAAGGTAACACCATTTTTGATCAGGTATGGTATCATTTTGGGGATATATTTCATGTACCTAAGAGATCACGTGATGGAGTTAGATCCCTGTTTCACAGATAGAAGTATTTGGGCTAGTATGTTCGTAAGGGATACATTTGTATTGTCATTTCCTAGTTGATATTTT